CCCACCAGGGCAGTGCCTCTCAGAGTCTTACATAACCAGCACAGGGCTCCAGGCCAGCCGAGGGACGGTTGGCTGGTGAGAGGCCATGGACAGGAGGGAGGTGCCTGAGGGGCAGAGAGATCCTGGACCCACAGCAGCTGCCCCGTGCAGTACCCAGAGTGCAGGCTGCATGCAGAGGATGCAGGGTCTCAGCAGGTGCAGGGTCTGAAGTGCTCCCAGGGATACCACAGTACCAGGGGGCACCGCAGAGACCCCTGGCCCGGCCCCATGGAAACTGCCTAAGGAGACCCACACCCCAGACAATGGGAACACGGAGGACCCCTCTGCTGCCACAGGGAACTTCTGTCAGAACTCTCAGCTCCCCTCCCCGGGGGTTCCTGGCACACTTGAGAGGTCAGTGGGGGTGGTCAGGGGCAGGGGAGAAGGCCCAGCTCCCCCACCTGGGCGGCTCCAGGTGCCTCAGCCGGGTCACAGCCAAGGTCAGGGGCTTGGAAAGTGCCTATCACAGAGCTTGCTCCACATTCCCTCCTACAGTACAGCGCTGAGCCCAGAGAGGGCCCTGAGCGCCCATCACCCCCCCCCCCCCCGAAAAGAAACCCCAGTTTAATTCAGAGTAAGACAAGAAGCTGTGGTTGGAACCATCCCCTGGGAGCCACCTGTCTGGGTTGGGACACACTTCTCTGCTGTCCCTACAGGTGGTGAAGGGAAGCACAGGGCCACAACAGGGTGTGGACACCTGGGCTTGGCGGTCCTCGAGCGCCACCTGTTGCCCATGACGGGGGCTTCCTGAGGGGCCTGGGAGGGCGGAGCCAGTGAAGCAGGGACAGCCAGGAACTGGCAGGGCAGGGCAGGAGGGCAGGGGCAGATGCTAGGCTTGGACGGGAAGGTGGCCTGGGGAAGCGAGGCTCCACTCTCTCAGCCTGGGCCTCCAGCCTAGGCCTCCACTTGCAGTTCATCCCGTGCACTCCACAGCCAGGGCCCAGCATGGAGCCACCCTGGCCCCTCACAGAAGCCACAGCCCCGTGGCCTCCCTGCATCCTCCCAGTGGCTCACGGTGACCCTCCACCTCTCTCCCTCCTCAGCCCCTCCTGCTGCTTCTCGAGCCTTCCCCCACCCTACCACCAGGGAGTGCAGCTATCCATTGTGCGGGCAGAGACCATCTGTGTCCCCAGGAGCCTGAAAAGGGTGGGAGGGGGCAGGTACCCTCAGCCAGCTCTTTCCAAGTGGCCAAGAAAGCCAGGAGCAGAAGGGGAGAAGGGGCAGCCAGGGGGAGTTTGCAGCTCACCTACTCACCCACTCCCGCCTCCCTCCATGCCTTCCTTTCTCTGACTCTTTCTTCTTCGTAAGGGAAATTGAACCCAGGGGCACTTAACCACATCCTCAGCCCTTTTTTATATTTTACTTGGAGGCAAGGTCTTGCCAAGTTTCATAGGGCCTCCCTAATTGCTGAGGCTGGCTTTGAACCTTGGAACCCCTGCCTCCGCCTCCCAAGCCACTGGGATTAAGGCGTAGCCACTCTGCCTGGCCACCCTTTTTGTTTTGTTCCCTACCACCTCCTTCCTCTCTTCAGCCTCACCTGGGCTGAGCACTTGCTTCCAGACCCAACATGCACAGAGACCAGCACAGTCCCAAGGACTCACTCCCCTTGCCCACCCCTGCCAACCCGAGGAGCCCACATGCTGCTCCAGATTCCTAGTCCAATGGACAGGCCTGTGTTGTCCAGAGCCTGGACCCCATCTTCACTCGTTGGCCCCTTGTCTCCATCAGCCGTGGATCTGTCCCTCCTGCACTCGCCTGGCGGCTCTCAGCCAATCCTCCCGTGGAGGCTGCCCTGCCCTGCCTCTCGGAGCTTCTAGCTGCAGCAGCCCCAGCGTCCTCATTCCTACCCGTGCCAGCTATGGTATCTCACTGCATCCCCCTCTCCAGCCCACCTCCAGGAGCACAGCCTACCCTTCCGGGCACCCTGTGTCCAGGTGTCCAGTCTCCACTAGCTCCACTAGCTCCCTGCCAGCTGCAGCCATAAGCTCTGGGCCACTGAGCAGTGGTGAGCAGTTCCCCTGTCCCCCATCCCTGGGGATCTTGTCTGCCTCTCCTGCATTCCCCGGGGTGCACCGCAGCCATGGCCTCTGTCCAGAGAGCTAGGTGGCTTGTCCCTGTTGCCCTCAAGGCCTGCCCGAGTCACCTCAGAGGGAGGACATCCCTACTGCCCTGCCCAAAGCCCCCACTTTCTCATGGCACTTGTGGCCACTCGTCTCCTTCATGTCCCACCCCAGCAAGCTCTGTGCCCTGGCCTGGGCACGTGGCCATGTGCACGCGGGCAGGGGCAGGACATAAGAGAAAGGGGTGCTGAACCAGGGGAGCTGGACCTGTGTGGTGTGGTGGCCACACTCTGGAGGATGGCCTACGGGCAGAGGCTGCAGCCCGATCACCCTGCCCCCAGCACTTGCAGACCAAGTGAAGGGCCAGCGTGCGAGGGGAGGTGGAGCAGGGGCAGCTCCAGTGGCCAGAGAAGCCAGCCGATGACGGAGGAACGGAAGAGGGACAGTGCTCCCTCCCTCCTGCGCAAGGAGCCACCTGGGGCTCAGGCTGGAACTCTGCCCATTGGAGTCCTTCTGGGCCCCTCCCGAGCCCCCGCCAAGCAGCACAGAGCATTCCTGGAAGAGCCCAGGGAGCCCAACCCCCAGGCAAAGGCTCCCTGGGCTCCAGTCAGCAGCAGGACAGACCAGGAGCCAGAGCCCTCTGACAGCAAGGAGGGACCATGTCTGGCAGCCAGCCACATGTCCCCACCCACCCAAGGAACAGCAGTCGGTGGTCACCCATGGGTTGACCAATTGAGAACAGGGCTCAGGCCTGAGGCTCCCCAATGGCACGGCCCACCAAGCTCAGTGCCCAGAAGCTGCCAACATGTCCGAGAAGGCCCAGGACCCTGCAGAGGCACCCCTGGGATCTGCAAGAGACCCTGCAGCCCAAGAGGTGGGACCCAGCCCAGACCACACCCATCTCCCCAGCCCAGACCACACCCATCTCCCCAGCCCTGAGCACCAGAGCAGGTGAGAAGTCTGGAAGGGGTGAGCAGGATGTTGGTGGGCACTCAGCCTCGGGGACAGGCACCTGGGTCAGGACAGGCCCCTGCTTCTCCTCAGGCACCTCCCAGTCTCCGACACTAGTCTCAGAGGTAGAGGGACCCCAGCAGTCAGCCACCCCTGGGGCTTTACCAGGCAATGGCCTTTCCCCACCCAGCCTCCAGCCCTCTGAGCACTAATTAAACAAATGTTAATTAAAACAGCAGAGTGACAAGAAAGGCCTCCCTCCCCCAGCCTGTGCCACCACTGCCCAAGGGACCTCCAATCAGGAGTTCTAGGGACAAGGTTCTTCCCCAGACCCTCACTACGCAGACACAGCACACAGCACACAGCACACAGCACAGCGGCTTCCCACGGCTCTGGGCCTGCGTGTGAGCCCAGGGACACAGACCCCTCCCACTGGGGTATCCCAGAAACCCAGCGCCCCCTCAGGGGATGACAGTAGAAAGAGAAAGAGCCAGGCCCAGCCTTCGTCTGCAGATGGAGAGGGAGGTCCTAGAAGTCAGGGAGTGGGAGTCTGGGAGGGGCAGGAACGGGGAGAAGGGCAGGGAAAGCCATGCAGAGGAGGGAGGTGGGGGACAGAAGAGCCAGGCACAGGGGACATTAGCACCGCAGGGGCTGAGCCCTCTCACTGGGCTCCACAGAAGTGAGCCGCCCTGTTCTCCCCAATGCCCAGCACTGGTGGTCCACCAACCTGGGGGCTTGGCCTGAAATCCAAGGGGCCCTGGGTGTCTGGCGGGCCTCAGCGCCCAGCGGGCCCCAGGCAGCCCACCCCCCACACGAATGCTCTTTTGCCTTAACATTCATGATTCAGCCAAGGCCCCAGGGACCCAAGCCAGGCTCAGGGGACGCTCTGAAAAACAAGATGCCTTGTCCTCAGAGGCTTCCTTCTGGAGCAAGAGAGACGTAAACACCTGTGGTGGCTCCTGGGCGTCCCAAGGAACGGCCCCTGAGCATGGGGAGCACCAGTCCCCCAAGGGGCAACTCTGACACCCCGCTGATGTCACTGGTGGGTCTGCAGGCCTCCACAGGGCCACGAGGGCTTCCTGGGGAGCACCCCTGCCGAGCGTGAAGGTGCCCACCTGGGAAGGGCACAGGTCAGCCTCAGCACCAACACCCTGGGCCCCCCACACCCAAGGCCCAGGACTGGGGGATGCTCAGGAGCCCGCTAGCCCTGCCGGCTCCCTTTCTTCCCCACGCTCAGGAAGCCCCTTCCTCCTCTGCCATCGGCTCCGGCCCCTCCCGTGTCTCCCCACAAGTGCCAGGCCATGGAGACAGTGAGTGGTAGGAACGGCTCTGCCTCCCACCTCTCCTCGGAAGGGAGTGGGCTGGGCTCTGCACCTCCAGGGACCCCAAGGTCCCAGGAAAAAGAGCCTCTGGGACTGGGGCCATACCAACAAGCTCTGGAGCAGAGGTCCCACGGCCCTCACTCCCTCAGCCTGCAGCCAAAGAAACGGGAGAGGGGCCCTGGGGGGCAACCCGACAGATGGAACCTCTGAGGCCAGTGGGCATGGGGCAAGCAGCTCCCTGGACTCCTGGGGCGATGGCACGTTGGCCATCGTAAGGACGAGCTGAGGAGGAGACTGGGTGGAGGCCCTGGTTGTGGCCTCAGGGGAAGGCAGCAAAGAGCTTGGAGGGTCCAGGTGGCTCTAGGACAGAAAGAAGCTCAAGTGCCAAGTGCCCCCCAGATCCCAGGCAGCAAAGCCCTCCCCTCCTTGGGAGCCTCTCCCCAGCAGACCCAGACCACAAAGCAGGCACCCTCCTGGTCACTCTGGCCGTGGGACCCAGCAGCTGCCTCCCCTGTGACTCTGCAAACAAGCCTCTCCTGAGCCAAGCACACAGACAACTGCGGGAACCTCCATGCCCCACACCCTGGGCAGGGCATGGACACCCACACAGGGCACGTAGGCCACCTACCCTGTGAGGACCACCACGAAGTCCATGACGTTCCAGCCATTCCGCAGGTAGGAGCCCTTGTGGAAAGCAAAGCCGAGCGCGATGATCTTGATCCCCGCCTCAAAGCAAAAGATGCCGATGAAATAGGGCTCTGTGTCATCCTGAGGAGAGGCACGGGGCACTGGTTACTTCTGCCCTCCCTGCAGTGGCTGGGGCAGCAGGCCCTGTCTGATGGCCACACCCACTGTCCCAAGTCTGATCCTCCTGACCCGCCTGACACACCCAGACTCCTCCAGCCTGGCATTTCCACCACTAGCCTGTGTGTGCTCATCTGCGTGTGCCCCCTAAAGGGACACCCCACTGTTGATGGGCAGCATCAGTGTCTCAGCTTGTGCTCCAGCTCGGAGCACCCAGGGCCTGCTCTGCTTGAACCAGTGAAGAGAGTGAGGTGCAAGTGGGTCTCCATCAACTGTGGAAGCCCTGCCAATGCCTCCACTGCTGTCTCTTCCTAAGAAGTTCCGTAGCTGGGCAAGGACCACAGCTAAACCCAGCAGCCACCTCAGCTGACCACTGGGCACAGTTACCTGAATAAAACTCAGCCTCAGAACTCAGTCCAGGGCCCACACCTGGGTAAACAGAACCTGCAAACTCTCGCAGGGAACAAACAGAAAGACAGAAGCAAAACCTGCAGCCCTGAGACCACGGGAGCAGTGGCTTCTGTGAGGACCCCCAGGACAGGAGCTTGTTCAGGGCCAGGGTCCTGAAACCAAGACACAGCTGGACCCCAGGGAGGCTCCTAGAGGTGTGGTGTCAAAGGGCCAAGTTTTCCATGGCCAGATTTTGAGGAAAAGAACTCCAGTTGAAGGAACCAGTGTGACCAAAAGGAAAGAAGATGAGAGATCCTAGAAAGACCCCTGTCCTCCACCCCAGGCAGTGACTTGGTCAACAGGTTCTGAGCCTCAAGCTGGGGCAGGCCATTTTGGTGCTGAGCAAGCAGCGTGGAGCTTGGGGAGAACGGTACCACATGAGGGTGCAGCATGGCAAGTGACAGTGCTAGGCAAGTGACAGGCCTAGGGACAGTGGCAAAGAGCCCTGGGAGCTGGACTTGGGGAGCCGGACCTGGGGAGCTGGACCTGGGTACTGGATCTGGGAGCTGGACCAGGGGAGCTGGACCTGGGTACTGGACCTAGGGAGCTAGACCAACGCAGCTGGACCAGGAGAGCTAGACCTGGGTACTAGACCTGGGAGGCTGGACCTGGGGAGCTGGACCTTGGGGGCTGGACCTGGGTACTGGACCTGTGGAACTATACCAGGGGAGCTGGACCAGGGTACTAGACCTGGGTAGCTGGACCAGGGGAGCTGGACATGGGTACTGCACCTGTGGAGCTAGACAGAGGAGCTGGACCTTGGGAGCTGGACCTGAGGAGTTGGACCTGGGGAGCTGGACCTGAGGAGCTGGGCCTGGGTACTGGACATGGGCACTGGACCTGGGGAGCTAGACCAGGGGAGCTGGACCAGGGGAGCTGGAGGTGGAGGGTCAGCAGGACTCACGTCTGCACTCAGTAGCAGATGAAGAGGAGCTAAGGAGCAGGCCAGCTCCCAGAGCCATGGGCATAGTAATTTTCCTGACAGTGAAATTCACAGGAGGAACTTCCCTCCAGAGAGCTGCTCTGTCCTGCGGGGCAGGGGTCAGAGTGGCAGGGCTGGACATTGCCTGCAAGAAGCTGCCAAGTGAGGTGGGACTGCCAGCCCCCAAAGCCTGAACCTTTCTCCCAGAAGCCTGGCTCCTGATGGCTCTCCCCAGGGGATGAGGCAGGACATAAGCTCACAGCAGGGGCCTATGGATGCTGCCAGACACGAGGGTTCACTGTGGCCCAGTGCTCCTGCCCTGCAACTCTGATGCTGACTCATGACAGGGACAAGGCCCCTGGAGGAGTGTGTACACTTTTTGTGACCTCAAGCCTTCTTAGTTCGAAGCATCTTCTTTCCCAAGAAGAGGAGCCACTGATCATCTGCCCAAATGGAATAGCTGGGCCCAGAGGACACATCTTCTCAGAAGGCTTATGGACAGAAAAGAAAAGTGCAGGCCGTACTCCAGGGCCACTGGGAAGGAGACACTACCCCAGAGCTCTCCTCTCAGCTCATGCCAGCCTGGCCCTGGACCACCACCTAGGTGTACAGGCAGCCATGGGTGTGGGTGGCACTGGACTTCAAGGGGCTCCAGCCAAAGGCAAATCAGGAAGCTGATGGGTGGGTGGGAAGCAGAACCCCCAGATGAGGAGCCAGGAAGGCTGCACCAGAGCCTGGCTAGCAGACCACTGAGAAATCCACCCAACCCATTCAACCCCCCTGCTGCCCAGACAGCAGTCCAGCCTCCAGACCATAGTCTAGCTCCTGTCTGTCCTCAGACCCTTGAGGGCTGGAGCTGCATGCAGGACCAGGGTCAGCAAAGAGGTCCTCAGGCCTCCATCTGGGACACACTCTGCTGATTCTCCCCAAAGATAGCCCCCATCCAGAAGCACACACCCCTACCTGCCACACAAAGCAAAACTGCTGCACCTGTGAGGCAGAAGTTCACACGGCTGGATGCCAGCTGGTCCACAAGAGGACCCTGAGTCTGGCCACTGCACTGGTCTCCTTGCACCAACCCCAGTCTGACCCTTGGCCTGAGTCTCTCTGGCCCTACTTACCAGACTTCATGGAAATAGGACCATGCCTGTGCCCTGGACCTCCAGTTTCCTCTCCCTTTCACCCTCTGCTCTGTCCTCTGAAGCACAGCTCACTACCAGTAGGAGCTAGAGGTCCAGAGGAGGCAAGAGACCCCATCAGCCCCATGCCCAGGTACCTCCAGGGACCATGATGGCCTCACAGCATGGTTGATCTGTGCCCACTGCCACCACCCAAACCACGTGGCCTTCTGTTGTCCTCCAGGAAACTCCTCAGCTCCCAGTGTCCACCTAACCATCTCCCCCCCTTCCACACCACAGGGCCAGGAGTGGCTAGGTGGCCAACCAGAACTCAGAAGGGCACTGGGCCCCACAAAAAGCACCTACCAGGCCATATCTCACATCTTCACTGAGTCGTGAAGTGGCAGCCAGGGTAGAGGGAAGACAGAGCAGAGGCTGTCCCCTGGGGGACCTCATGCCCAAGCCCCCCTCTCCAGGCCCCTCCAATTGCCTTCTTTCTCTGCATTCTGAGGCGTAGCAGCCCACACCCAGCCCACACTGAGCCCAAACAAAGGGGCCTGGCAGGAGTGAAGAACTATGGGTTTGGAACTGTGCCATCACCTGTGAAGTTATGCTCACTCTGATCCAGCCCTCTGACCCAGAGTCCACTACGCTGGCCTTCAACACCTGCCTCCTACTCTGCCCAACATCCTGCAGAGGTCCTGCCCTGGCTCCTGGTTCTCACAGGCTCTGTGGTTCAGCACAGATACCACAGGGGTCTGGAGGGCTCTTGGCAGGAAGCTAGGGGTAAAAACTATTCAGAACATTTGGAAAGGAGGGCTTCCCCAGGAGGGGCAGACCCTGTGGGAACAGGGTTCTAAAAAGGCCACAGAAGATAACCCTGAAGGAGGACCCCAATCCCCAGACTCAGGGTTGCACCAAAAGAGCCCCACCAGGGCTGCAGGGAAGGTGGGCAGCTGGCCCATTCTCCCCAGGGAACCCATTCAACCTGACATTGTCCTCTCCATATGAACGCCCTCCCTTGCCCCAGGTTTAGAACTTAGATTCTCAGATGAGAGCCCAGAGCAGCTGCCTGGATGGCCCATCTGTGGTGTGGGGGTGGCTCCGGGAACAGAGCAGATCAGTTGAGCTGGACATGTCAACTTCCTGACCCTACAAGGAGGTGTCAGCTGCCCAGGTTCTATCCTGTCCCCTACCTGAAGTGTGTGTGTGGGGGGTGCTTCCCAGCTCAGGCACAGATTCTAAAGAAAGTGAATCAGACAAGTTGCCACCATCCCACCATCTGGCCCCAGACCCCAGCGCCAGCACTCACCAGGCGCTCCGACATGGGCGTCTTGTCTCCGTCAGGGAGATGCTGCTCCAGGGCCAGCACGATGCAGTTGGCGATGATGGTGGCCAGGATCATGTACTCAAAGGGAGTGTGTGGGTTAAGGACTGGCCAGGAGGCGCCACAGCGGCAGAGGCCGGTGGCCGCGCAGTGCAGCAGCCTTGGCTAGGCGTCTCCCGAGGGCTGAGGATGGTGGGTCCTGAGCCCACCACTTCCACGGACGAGGGTTGGTCTTTCTCGCTGCCCACCCCCATCCCAGGGGACCGCCGAAAGGCGGGGCCTCTGCAGTAGCAGCCGCCAGCCCCTCTGCACGTCCGGGCGGCCGTCAGCACCGCGGACAGCGCCTCCGCCCAGCTCCGCCCGGCCGGCTCCCCACGGCTGGGGGCTGTGCGTTCCCAGAGCGGCAATACGAGACCCCCCCGCGCAGGCGCGCGTTCCCACCTAAAGACACGCAGCCACAAGTACCTACACAGGCACGTGAACATACATGTACCGAGAATCTCGAACGCACGCACGCGCAGCGCGGGACTCGTGCTATGCCCGCACACGCACACGCAGGCACCTGCAGCCAGCACGCGCACGGGCCCGCATCCACACGGTCTCACACCTACACAGACATGGATTCGCCCTCGCGTGCCCTCCATGCTGGCCGAGAGCTCAGCACCCCGACCAAGCTCCCCAAGGCCAAGTGAACCAAAGGTTGAGCCCTAGGACAGAGGGGCTCCGCCCAGCACCCCTGAGGCCAGCTGGCCGCCGCCTTCAGGACCACACACACACACACACACACACACACACAGACGCGCGCGCACGACCACACGCACACACGCGCCGAGACCGACCTCGGAGGCCCCGCCCCGCCCCCTCCTCGCCGGTCCGCGGCGTCTTCGCTGCGCCTCTCCCGGGTCGCACCCTCCTCCTGGCCCGGGGAAAAATGGCCACTGGGCGCCGCCGCGACCGGCCCCAGTCCTCGCCCTCGGTCCAGGCCGCCCCTCCCAGACCTGGCAGACGCGGAACACGGACGCCGCGCCCGGTCCGCGCCCGGTCCCTGCCCTCGCGACCTCGGCAGTCAGCCCCTGCCCCGCCCGGCCCAGTCGCTGGCAGGATATGGCCACTCGGTGATGCGCTTGGCGTATTTGCGGACGACGTTGTCCTCGCTGAAGACGAAGAGCGAGCGATTGACAGTGAAGCAGTTCTGCTTGACCGGGATGGGATTGTACAGCGCCATGGTCCGTGCGCGCTGCGCAATGGACTGCTTGTAGAGGACCCGCTGGCCCGGCTGTAGCCCTCCGGGGCCCGGGCCACCAGCCCCGCCGGCCCCGCCGCCCCGCGCCCTCTCCCCGCTGCCGGCGCCCCCATAGCGGCCGCCCAGCTCGTCCCCGAAGCGGACCATGGCTCCGGGGCGCCGCGCACATCCCCAGCCCGGTGGCCCCGGCAGGGAGGACGCGGGGCGCACCAGACGCTCAAAGCAGAACAGTCGCCAAGCTGCCGGGACAGAACCGGACCTCGCCCGGCCCGGCCACCGCCGCACCCGACTCCGCGGCCCCGCGCCACGCCCTATAAGGGGCCGGTCACGCGGCGATGTCTGGCCAATCCGAAACGGCCCCGCCCCCGGACTCTCCGGCCCCGCCCCCGCCTGGTCGCCCCCACCCAGTCTCCACCGCCCTCCCCAGCCGCCGGCCCTCGAGGCTGCGCCTAGGCTGATGCTGCGGGTGCGCCCGGGTTCCGGTCGGTCGGGAGAATGTGCGCCCTCCACGCGTCCCGCTCCGCACACGGGCTGGAAGCCACCAGAAGCGAACCGGTGCGCTGGAGTCTTCGACAGCCGCACTTGGCGCCGAGCCATGCTGTCCCCAGAGTTCACTCTGCCTGCGCGAACGCCCGACTCCTCGCACTCCACCCAAATCGACCCGCGTTCCCCAGAGACGTCAGCAGTGTTGAGATGCGCCAGTCCAAAGAGAGAGGACAGGCTCCAGGTTCCCCACTAGGTCCACAACTCACTCTTCCCTGGAGGCCGCATGGACAGCTCCTCTGGACTTCTCTGCAGACCTCCCGCCGCTTCCCAGAAGACCTGGTCTCCCGACGGCAGTTCTGGCCCTTCTGGTTCTCAGACATTCTTGCCCCAAGTTTTCATGACACAACCCTGTCGAGGGCCCCCAGCCCTTGTGCATACACCAGACACTGAATTGGCTACTAGATCTCAATTCTGACATTCTGCCATTAATTCAATAAAAACCGAATAATGGTGCCCTCACACCACTTCGTCCATCCATCCATCCATCCTCCCTCTCCCCCAAGCATTTTGTAAGCACCCATTTGCCAGGCACTGGTTCCTCCTTCGTGGAGGTGACATTTTTACACCAAGGATAGCAAATATTTACATTGCACCTGCTTGGTGCTAGGCATGATGATCACACACAATTGCTCGAGGTCCCACAGCATGCTGGTGAGAAGTTTTCCCAAATCACTCTTGGTGGGTGGTAGAGGAAGCCAGACAGGGATCCTCTTCACTCTGCCAGGACAAACATCCTAAAAACAAGCTTGCCAGCCTCCTGGAGGAGGCCTTTCTGCCTTGGGGTCGGGGAAGACTCCTTCCAGGAAAGGAGGAATTCTGGAGCACACCTGAACGCTACAGAGGTGAGGCATGCAAAGCCAGGCCAGGCAGAGGACCGTGGAGGTCCATGAAGACCACATGTCAGTATCCGGCTTGTATTCCAGAGGAACCTCTGGCTGCTGCGGGAGCATGGAAAGTGGCAGACCGGGTGTGGATCTACAGAGCCAATGGCTCTGTAGAGGAGGTGGAGGAACCCTGTGTCTCCACCCCTGTCTCTGTCCCCTTGTCATCCGGGCAGTCAGAGGTAGGCAACCCAACTTCATCTAGGAGCAGCTTGTACAGTACAGTCCTGACCTCACTGATGAAATGTCAGTTTTAGAGACAGTCTTTCCATCCCCCTCCCTCCCCCGATCAACACAAGCACCACACTCTGTCTTCTTGCCTGCCGCCCCTGGCCCAAGGAGCTGCCTCAGCACTAAGCATGACACCTCTGCATCACCATCTCAAACAGGAAGGGCAGGTGTAAAAATAGTACCCACTTTAAACAATCAATTTATGACATCTTTTTATAATGAAGAAAAGGCTTTTTCATAAGGCTTGAACTTCATTAAGCAGACAGGACAGCTGTCATCCCCTGAATGGGCATGAAGCTGCCCAAGTCAGGGCTCACTTCTCTGAGAAGTAGGAGGGAAGGCTGCCATTGACCCATTGCAGAACAGAGAAGCCAGCTGGGGGTCTTGACTGTTGCCAACAGAAGGGTAGTGTGGTTTGGATACTGGGCCATGGCTGTGACCCCTTGACTGTACACCAGAGCCCACCAAATTGTGGATGTGGAGGTCAAATGTGGAGCAGGGATTGGGGAGTTCACACAGTAAGGAGGCACATGCAGGGGAGGAGGCAGCTGGTGCAGTGAGGAAGCAGACAGTGGGTGTAGACACCTGGTGCGGTGAGGAAGTGAACTCAGGTGTGTGGACAGCTCTTCTGCAAAGGGGAACAGAGCCTGAAGCAATAGTTAGGGAGAGGCCTGGCGTGACTGAGCGGGTGGGTCTGTAGGTAGCACCCTGTATGCTATGCTCATGCTCGGCAGGAGAAGCTGCTGATGCAGAGGGAACATGGTGTGGTCTGTACAGGAGGCACAGGCCCTTCACTCTTGCAGAGTGCAGCCAGGCGCTGGCTGAGGGCACCACTCGGGGAGGAGTGGTCCTGAGTGCTCACCCGGGCATGTGCGGAGAATGAACTGCAGTGGGATACACAAAGGGGCTGGGCGGGGAGCCAAGGGCCAGGGCTGGATGTGAAGGCTCACACACAGGCGTCAAGTGAATGAACTGACCAGAGGAGCCTACACACATGCTCCCTAGCTCCCTGGGCCCTCATCCTACACACCTGGCAAAATGCAGACTACAAACCTCCGGGGACACACCTACTGGTTCCAGCTGTTGCTGGTCACACAGGGGACAGACTGGCACATCCATGTCCCCCAAGAAGACTGTGGGTCCCGAAGTCAGTGCTGCCCCTATGCTACATGATGGTAGCTGTGACCACAGCCACTGTCTTCCAGACTCTACACCAAAAGCCAGCCTCTCTGTGGTTGCTCCTGAGATGTCCTGGCAATGTTCTCTTCTTGGCCACACCTCTGGCACTGGGTTGGGTCCTCTTAGGGGAGTGGAGAGGTAAATCTACAAGTTTTTCTTTCTTATATAAATAATGTCTATCTTAAATCTAATGCAGGGTGCTAATGGCTCTGCAGAGGAGGCGGAGGAACCCTGTGCCCCTGTTCTTGTCCCCTCATTGTCCAGACGCCATTACACACACTCATTCTGCAGAGCTCTCACTGTGCTCCACTCTTAACCCTGTGCAACACAGGTGCATGGCTTTATGTGCTTCTGAGTTCTGCATCCAGCAGCACCACACAGTGCTGCAGGGGCTGCCACACACCACACCATGTGGAGTGGAGGGAACCCGTATTGCCTCCCATTCCATCAGAATGGAGATTTGTGCTGAGTTCTCCTGCTCTCCTGGTATGAGGCAGGAGCTGCAGATGCAACCCCAGGAGGAGGATTACTGGCCGTCGGTGGCGCCTCTACACAGGAGCCTCAGGGAGCTGCTAGTGCAGGCATGGGCAGGGGTAGCACCAGAACACAGGCAGATCTGTCCGCCTCACATCCTCCCCAGCACTCTGTATGACCAGCCTGGTAGGCATGTCAAGTGCCCCGCTTGGTTTAATATGCATCTCACTGGTGACTAATGAAGCAGAGAAGCTTCTCATGCTTCGCGGTGAGTTCCGCAGGTTGACAGTGCTGCTGCCCTCCAGGATGGCACAGGTAGTCTCCTGCTCGTTTGGTGGTCGGGTGGACCGTGCAGCCCTCACCTCACACGTGAGCCAAACTCATCCAGCTCTCCCTCTTTTCTGCTGGGTGTTGAGTGCATGCTCTCCTTGACTTCCTTAAAGTCCGAGTGGTCTTGCTTTTCCTCCTAAGCCACTTGAAACTAGTTCTTCTGCGTGACAGGAGGCAGGCAGGCAGGGGTCCGCTTCCCTTGGGAATGCTCAAACTCTCTGTCTGCGTCCCTGGTGTCTGGGCCCTGCCCCACGCAGGCAAGGCGCTCCCTGACGCTGCTATATTAGGGAGTGCTGTGGAAGGACCCCCCCACCCATCCTGTCATTCAGGAGCCACTTGGTGTCCCCACCTGCCCCTTTCACCACTTCAGAACCCACCACTCAGGTGACACACAGAGCTGTTGACAGCACGTTCACAGAGCAGCTGGGGGCAAACAGACGTCCTTGATGCTAAGCTTCCAACACATGAGCAATACATGTGTTCACTGATCAGGGTCATTTTTAGCTTTTATTAAAAATTGGTTTTCGTAAAAATTTATTTTTTTAAAGTTCAATTTTTTAAACACTTTTTTACAAAAGCTGTGCACATTCATATTTACTCTGGGGGGTTTTATCTGACTGCATACTGTAATAAAGGATTTCATTTTAAGCTGTTTTCCAAGACAGTTCTCTGCTGATTTGACAGTGACCTCACTAAATATTGTGGTTGCTTCTAATAATTTGTTGTCAGATTTTTGCTTTCTGTGTAACCATGTGGACAGCAAGTTTCACCTCCTCTTTTGCAATCCTCTACCTTTCACTTCTGGCCTTCTTGTGCCAGCTCATAGGCAGCGGTGCAGCAGCCCCACCCAGGTCCTGCTGCCAGGGGTCTTGTTTCCACCCGCACCTTGGCCAAGTGAATTGTTTCTGCCCTCATGCTCCAGCCTTCCCGAGCAGTGACCTGTCTGGCCATTGCTTTCTCTTCCTTAGCCCATTGACAGGCCCACCACCTCACTCTGGGTGAGCCAGGACGGCCATGCCACCATCCACTCCCACCATCAAGGTCAGGCTCTCAGACAGTCCCTATGGGGCCCCAGTGCCCAGGCTGTGGCCTCCAGACCAGGCTGCAGTGCTCCCCCAGGCAAGTCCACTCTGGGTGCGGGCTACAACTTGGCAGCCCTGGTGATTCCAGCCAGGAGCCGCTGCTTCAAGTTCTGTCCCTCAGGTCATTGATCAGTCCATCTTTCTGGAAAGTTCTTGGCCTACAGTTGTTCACCACAACTTCTTATATACACTGTACATGGGACTGTGTCCACTTTATATTCCCCAGAGGTTTGCCATTTTATTACACTGTCAAATGATCGGTGTCCGCCTTTGACTGTCTCTGAGGTGCTTTCCTCTCCCCTGCTGCCTGCCCCCCACTCCTCCTGCTCCCTTCTTTGCTACATGCTCTCTGCACCTCCTATCATCTGTTTATTTTGGTTACTTTTCAGCCTTTGTGTTTTTAAAAAGAAGCCCACATAGGACATTTTGATAATGGACAGGACCTTGCAGCCCACCGCAGGAAGCACGCTGTGGGGACCACACCTCCTGGCCACTCCTGGGGGTTTCCTGAAGCTTCTTGGACTGCCTAG